ATACTTGCACCACTTGACAAAAACACAAAAAATAGTCTCAGGAGAGACAATTGAGCCAGCGATTAACTAGCAAAAAAAAAGATAAATAAAACATCTATCGATACCAATATCGTCTAACCAGCTTAGCAATTACTACACTGAGCTTTGATTCCAGCCTCTCCATCCTCAACTCCACCCTTACCATCTTCGACTCCACTCTCTGCATCCTTGATACCAAGACCTCAACACGTGATTCCAAAAATTTCACCCGATTCCTATATAAATCCCCAAACCTTCATATCAAGAAGCATGGTAGCAGTAGACTTTGTAAACATTCTAAGAGCAGAAAGCAGGGACCTACAGAAATGGAACTGGTGCATACTGCTGAAATTCCGAGTAGAATTGTTCCGGCGACTAATCCCATCATCCACTTCATATATGTATCAGTACGACCCTGCGATCGGGAGAGAGCTTCAGCCGCAGTATCCGCGATAGCGCTGCCCTGGTTTTGGTTAGGTTTTTACCAAGTGCAAGGTGAATTTTGAGTTTCTACTGTTTCGAGTTTGCAAATCCTGCCCTGAATGGTGTTCGGTTCAGCCAATTCGCTTGTTCCCCCAATGCCGATATCAGCTGCTAATTTCTGTCCCTTCCGGAAAACTCCTTCTCTAAATCGAACATTAAAATAACTATCGAACGAGTAGGAATACTGATAAACTTGCCTGAAAAGAAGTATAGATATGACGAATTCCTAGACCAGATGTGGGCCCACTGGCACAAACCGAGTAGCTCGGAAAACGAAAAGCCTTGCTGACATACCCCCGACAGTTTTAATAGCGTGTACGTCGAGTCCAACATAATTGGTGTTGGATTGTTCAGAGAGAAAGAAAGGCTCAGGCAGCACAGGAGTGTTACCCAGTGCCGGGCTCACTATATATGTAGTACCGCACTGCTAGTCCAAGCCCATCCTATAATATCTATCCACTCCCGGAATTGGCACGTGCAGGGTGGTGAATATCAGTTTCGCCATCCTCAATTTTGCCCCAAAGTGAAGGAGAACTTGAGTTTGTAGGGGTATGATATGATAACGAATACTCGTAAGACCTCCCTCAAGACATTTAGTATTGGGGTTTGCTTCCATATGCATTCACCCACAGGCATTGGCCCACCTGCCCCCTACAGTATTTGCTGAGTGGAGGATTTTTCCCAGTGTGCTATTTCGCATGCGAAATTTCCCTTCCCCATTGCCCTCCCAGCAAGCAGAAAAAAAGAGCGTAGTGTTCGGCCCTGGGCCGGTAGGGGAGGGGTGCGGTAGCCTCATCTGATATTTTGGAGGACAGCGTCACTACATAGTGGGCACTACCTGAGATCTTGAGCATGTGCCCTTGCGCCCCGTAAGCTGATAGCGACATGATCGATATCCGGAGAGAAAGCATCCAGTCGACGAGGAATGAGAACTGAAGATATTATGAGTGTTTTTTCAAGATACAGGTAGCCTTACTAACTTATTATTACTTCATGGTATTATATATACTTATTCAACTACCACCTTTCGCCAAATCCGGTCCAGTTCGTAGAACTTCCCATTAAGGCACGCCAAGCCGCTGCGTTGCAATGCTTCTATCACCCACTCTGTTAATTTTGGAGCACTTATGACTACTCAAGCCATGTTTTTCATCTAACATCCAATCAACAAACGAAATTCATAGAAGTAAAGAGGAGCAAATGTGGAAATTTCCCATCAAGACTCTTGCTTAATTATCTTATTTATTCGGGCTGTGTTCACTGGTGGTCCAATTGGGCGATTTTGGTTGTTGAAAGGGCTAATTTCAACCCCCTAAACGACCCATGTCTTGACGAAAAATCGGATAACAGACACACTGGGAGAGCAGCTTGTGTTACCGGATCCCAAGTGCCCATACACCGGAGTACTCTATTTCCAAAAAAGACCAGGACATGGACTTGGGCGATCGTGACGTACAGCAAGCGGTAGTACAGTACCGGAGGTCTGAACTTACTGCCTTCATAGATAAAAGAATGAGCTTGGCATGAAAATATCCCAAACAAGCATGCAGCTTTGACACCTCTGATCCCTGGGTCTCCGATCACCCCCACCCATGCCCTAGTACGCCTCAACCGTAACACATGTGTCCCCAATGTGCCGAGAACTTTGAACCTTCCTAGTTTCCTTCTCCCCGAACCGTTCCGTACCCGGACATCTCGCTACACTTGCCAGCATACCACGTTGTCAGAGTTGACGCCAGTACTAGGGTACCCTACTGTACCCTAGCAACGCCTCGACGATCTCCATAATCTAGATTTAGTCTTGTGGATCAACGACGGAGTTAAACCACTTCTGTCGCCCAAATTGAGGTCGATATTACGCCTATGGAACAATACTGTAGCTCAACAGCAGGTTAAGTCTCCAGGTCGTGGAGATGGAAAGCAATGTGCACTCAGAGCACCCCCCGTAATTGAGGCCGAAGGTAGCACCACGTAGCGTCTCGAAACCCTTGCTTCCCCCAGATCCATCCACCGCATCTCATACCGGGGCGCGGAGAAATTCCTCCAGCGGCTATACCAGGAAAGCCCGCAAGAGTTTTGCCTACCGGTAGATAACACTCTCCTAATAGTTCGTCCGAACCGGAGCGTAGGGTCCGTATCGGAGATTTCGGCGAGGAGATTGGGTAGCCGGCCATTTGTCCGTCAGTGAGGGCCCATGTCCGGAATGGATGGTTCGGGTTCTGAATTGTTTGCCTAAGCTAAGTCGGGGGTTGTGTTATAGAGTTTGTGGCTTGGACTGTATGCACTCCTGCGGTGCAATGCTGTATGTAGACTATCGTCGAGAGTAATTTTGTTTATCGCTCAGTCGATCTCTTCGGGAGGGCTACCGCCTGGGAAAGCGCAATATTCAACCGGGTGCGACACACGAGATCCTTCAACCTTCCCAAGTAATTCACCAGCCATGGCCATAAGTCAACGATAAGGTTGACATGCAGATAAAATGGCCATTGTTCGTGGTTGATTACTGTGATATAAGCCTTGACCTACCCCATTGCAACGCTTCACACTACTGGTAGTATAACTACTTTTTCTTTCTATTTCGGCTCCTCTATCCCACCTTACTCCCGCCTCTAAGTTAGGTCACTCTATCCTATAGTTTCTGTGAAGAACATCCACATGCACACCCAATGCTCTGCTCACAAAAGGACAAATCTCCCTTCCATAGCCTCCTCCTCCCTGCTCGAGAAATAGCACTTTCAATCGATTATTCTTTCACCTCCCCTCAATCCTCCTCCCCCTCAACCTCCTCGTCCCACCAGTCTTTCTCAAATATTTCTCCTCTCCCTGCTCCTTGCCGCTAGCACTTGGAATAAGAGCATGTATCAGCAACTCAGCTCCCACACAGCGCAATTGCCCTCTATATTACATGGTGCCGGACTTTGCAAAACGGCCGGGAAGATTTCCGAAGAGGGTCCCTGAAACCTAAAGGTTATGATACTCAGCGATAGATCTGAGGTGGCCCGAGTAACGACCACTCTTTGGAGTGCTGGTCGGACCACCACGGATATAATAGGGGAGCGGCCAGACAAAGCTCAAGCATACGATACAACAAAGTTTCCAATACCACAACTATAGCCAAACTCCGCCAAAATTCATTCCCACTATATAACGAACAACTGGGCTCTCGTTTGGCAGGTGAGGAAATGGTTTTTTTTTTGACCTTTATAGCATTTTTGTCCCATATGAGATATTCTAAAATTGCACTTCTTTGCCTATACCACAGTAAGGTTGCTACTATGTGGATATAGATTTTTTGTGCCCCTTAGTCGCAGGGATTCGGATTTAGCAAAAGTTAAGTTTTCAAGCGAAATGGCGTTTTACATATCCCGGCTTGCCAAACAGGGTCTGAATTCCGTGACAAAGTTCTTCTCAATCTTCATCTGTCCTTTACATGCAGGGGGCGGAGTTTGCTCATACAAAAAAAAACTGCCGTAATGTCATGGGTACAGTGGATTAGGTGGTTGGGGAAAGCATCAGGAATCACTCCGGAGAATGCGGGGAACCCTTTAAACTACAGGTGTTATGTCCTCGAGGGACTCCGGGTCATATATCTTGCTCACTTTAATCTGTAAACTTTTCGTTAAGATCTATTGCCAATAGGCTCTTCTAGCCTAAGACCCCCAGGTCTCGGTATCAATGGTTTTCCCCTTTTATCCAGCGAACTTTGCTAGCACTTCCTTCACTGCAAAGGAACATTGAATTGGAGAAGTAGGCCAACACACCAGGTGTCTAGCACAATGTGATTCATTGCTCAGTGTGTAAAATCTCCTACTGGTCGGCTGGGCTCACGGTAACACAATGCGGTGAGGTGCTGTGCGCACGCGTGGCTGCTTCCCAAAACTTCCCGAAAATCAGCACTCTATTCCCTCTGTTCATCTAAAGTGATCGACCGCGGGCATCCCCGGTCATGCTATTTCCCTTTCTTCTCCTATATTCCCCATGGAACATCTCTAAAATAGGCTTCCTGAGGTATTTCCATCTGTCACCAATGTATCCTTGATAACTCATCGATTCAACCAAAAGTTATTCCAGCTATTCCTCTGATTCCACCATACATGGCAGTCTCCCGGGTACCTCAGCAGCAAAGGGGAAAATCCAACGCAAGGAATCGACGAAGGCATTAGATTACCATACTTCCCAGCGGCAGTTCAGACCCGAAACCTTTTGGACCCCATGTCTTCCCATTGGGTGACAAAAGCCTCCCCCTAGAAAGGTAGATAGACCCGGAAACATGCCCTTCCTCGTACAGGGTGTCGACAGATCTGTGGTTATGTCCAGGGATAACTCTCAAAACACCTAAATTACTTGAGTATCACTATTTCTGGCCGAGATTAGCAATCAATCTAGAATAATATTTTCCGAGAGTACACATGGTGGAGCGAGAGCTAGGGGTGTGCGATTCCGATTACTCAAAGATAAATTCGAACTGTTCCCCCGTCAACACCACGCAACCGGTGACAGAATTATGGCCTCCAAAACTCCTTCTACTAGCTCCATCAGCGAGATCAAAGAGCCAGCTCTCTACAAACTTGATGAAAAGCCTTCAAGTGTTTATGGCGAAGAGAAAGCGGTTGACAGCGAGGATGCTTTCGCCAAAGAGACTTGGAACAATCCTGCTGTGAATAAATACCGACTCTTCTCGTGTTTCGCTCTGTTCATTGCCGGGAGTCTATTCTTTTCTGCCTACGGTGTAAGCTCCACCCTTTCAATCATGTCAATTGCTCAAGCCACCAAGTACACGAAGCTAATACAACACCACAGGTCATACTCCCGCAGGTAAATAGTTCTCCTCACGAATTCTTCGGGGCTAAGTAGGAAACCCGCAGTTTGAAAAAGATTACCACCAATCACATGCTACAGTCTCCCTAGTATTTGTTGGTGTTCTCGCTGGCGCTATCCTCGCAGCCTCTGCAGCCAATATAACCCATATGTCACTCGGGCGTCGTGGTGCCGGCATTATAGGGTCCCTATGCATGGGAGTAGGAAATTTAATTCTGGCTCTGCATCCTCCATGGCCTGTCGTTCCAGTCACGATGTGTTTAATAACGTATGGTCTAGCTGGGCTTGACCCGGTCGCGAGTGCCTGGGTTGGAAGTCTCCACCATGCCAGAGGGTTTCTAGGCATGTTACAGGGCTGCTTTAGCATCGGGTCTGCAGTTTCTCCATTGATTGTCAATGCGATGGTTCAGCGCGGAATCCCGTACTATCAATTCTACCATGTTCCTGTTTGTCCCCAAATCCCTGTGATGAGTCATTGCTAACTAGGAGAAGTTTGCACTCTCGATGCTTGGGGGTATTGGATTCACATTCTCCTTTTGGAGCGAGGATGGTGAGAAGTATGCTCGAGATACCCGCAGCTCGCAAAACTCAAGCGTGGACCATACAAAGGAGATTTTGAAGAACAAGGTGTTTTCCTCGGGCTATTCTTCCAGGATATCGTTATTGACAGAACAAGGTTTCTTGGATTCTAGCGCTATTCGTGCTGGTCAGTTGGGGCGTCGAAAGTAAGTGCACCCATAGATTCAAATAACCATGAACTCGGGCTAACTGCCGTAAAAAGCTGTAATTGGCAGCTGGATGGTGGGTTTCTAGTCCGAGACAACATAAACTCCTTTCTAATTACGCAGGTCATCTATCTCACCGACGGCCTTGGGGGGTCCCTATCGAACGCTAGTCTCGTTAATGCAATGTTGTGGCTCGCCTTCACCATTGGTCGCTTTCTCCTAGTATGGGTTGATGGAGCAGTTCCCCGTAAATGGCGCGGGAAAGGCCCTGTATCGCTCTTCATCTTCTTAACGATAGTGTTAGAGCTCATGTTCTGGCTTCTCCCGACCTTTGCTGGATCTTCCGTAGCGTAGGTTCTTCCTGGATGCTTCGATTTAGAGAAATATTGACAGTGTGCAGGGCTTGCCTGCTAGGCTTCTTTTGTGGACCATTGTACCCTTTGGTAACCTAAGCCTTTGGCTTCCCCGACACATCGAGAGTTGGCTAACAGTTAACTTTATAGATCCTAAAAATGTTGACCATACTTTTACCTCCCCACTTGCACGTCTCGGCCATCGGAATTGGCAGCGCACTTGGTGCTCTGGGGAGTTGTGTCTTTCCGATCGCGGCAGGTGCAATTGCCGAAAGCAGGGGGTATTCTTCCCTTCTACTTCTGTTTGCGGTAGACTTTTTTTTCTCACAAATTTGTAGGATTACCATGATTCACCCCCTTATACTTGGGATATTCGTTATAGAATTGATCCTCTGGTACTTTGTCCCGTCGCCATCGTCGCAAACTAGGGGTGCGTAAATATGGTTAGGGGAAAGAAAAAAAATTTCCAGCCCTTGTTTCGGGAATAGCAAAAGTTATAAAATTATGGGTCAGGTCGGAGTCTGTTTTGTTAGGGTTGTTCCAGAAATGGATTAACTCGGGATCTTGTTTTGTTTCGCAAACCCAAATTTGTTCCGATGCCAGTATTATTATAGCTAGAGAGCTACTTACTATGATGATGAGGGAGAAAATTATTACAATAATAAAAGGCGATAGGAAACCGACCTCGCGGAATGGGATATTATAATTTGACTTGAAAAAAGGATTGGAATTCCCATACATACCCAACAATGGCCCATTGGGACGCATCTCTTCGATGAGAGATACAAAGGTAATGTTAAAACATCAAACACATCACTTACGCCACGTTCAAATAAGGCCCAAGTTAGGATTTTCGTTTTTTCCATTCTTTTGGGGTTGTGTACAGTACAGTACAGTACTCTACTCCGGTGGAAAGTACGGGTTGAATTATGCTGGAGAAAAAAGTCCGATTTTTAAGCCGCTCGGTTGGACCTTGCCCATGATATGTATGATCAATATTATCATCTAATATATATCCGAGGCACAGCTGAAAGACCGGAAGGACAAACTAGATATTTAGAAAAAAAAATCTAGAGACCAACCGACCCTCCCAGCCGATTCCATTCCCGGGAAATTTTTCCCAGCTGAGGGAATTCACCGCCCAATACCAGGATTTCCGAGTTCGTATAGGCCTCTCTCTACTCGTAAATGTTTGAAGGTCCCCACCATATCTGCGCCATGATACATTTCCACAGCTTAGAATGATCCAAAATACTAATTTCGCTCCCAGCGCTTGGGAGAAAAACGAAAAACGAAAAACCATTTGGTTGAGTCCATATGTCGAAAGCGATTAGCCTGAAAGCGTTGTGGCTCTCATGGAGCTTCCTCGTCCGCGCATTAATAATATTGGCTCATCCAGCCGGGCCAGAGATGGACATTCCAAAGCCCATACCACGTTCTCCGGAGGCGAGAACGCGGATGATGAGCGCCTCTTAGAAGGGCTGGAACCCCGAAAATAACCACTATCCAGCCCGGGTGGCCGAGGGGTCACGCTGCAGCTACTATACAAACCTGGCCAGGGGGATTTAGCTGATGCGGAGAGGATAGAACAACTACTACGGTAGGGCGGGAGAACCAGCTTACCGGTACTGTACTGTACAGTACCCCACCGGGGAAACCCTGGGATCCCCGAGAGTTGGGGGATAAAGGGAGCAAGGACCACCGGGAGGGAGTAGTATTACCTCTCCCAAAAAATGAACACGATCCCCGCGGTGCTATTATACAACTAGTATTATAGACACCTACGGTAACTACTTGTCGTGGAGAACCACATTCTATCGGACCCTACAAACTATGCAACTGAACAAGTGTAGGCTTGTATCGATCACGATATACCACTTCATCGCATCGCATTATCGATTGGGGGGAGGGGCTTGGAGGGCAGAGAGTGATTTGACCGGGGGATCGGGCCAGGGGATACCCAAAATCGTCCAAGCCAGATGCATTTCACTGTTCGGTAGAGGGTGGGGGAAAGTCAACTACGGGCTAGTGGATTCAATGTACTCCAGACAGAATATTATTCGGGAGTTCTCAGTAGGATCAAAGTGAGCCAAGTTACGCTATGAAGAAATTCCACACTGCGACACCCTCTCTGATCTCCGCACCCTATCTCGCGCCTGGCAATCTTTCATCTTCTATCTTGGCTTCTAAGGCCCTCGGCTCGGGTCCTTCGGTATCGTGACATTACCGATCCCCGGGCTGACTGTAATTGGCTGGCTTAGAATTCTCGAGTACCGGTATGCAGGGGGGGGAGTTTGAGTGATGTTTTAGCCGACCACTTGTTGCTGTTTGTTCGCAAGTTACAGTACCCTACAGTTTTCATTCGACTCTTAAGTAGCTCGGCCCGTCGTTGAGGTCCCCCGGATCGCGGTTGGATTCTGTGGGCTGGTTGACTGGAAAACTCGGCTCAAACTCGGCGACGTGAATACTGTGTAGCGCGGTGATCCCACTGCACGGTGTTGTTGTTCGGACCCTCGCACGGCAACGCTAGGGCGTTTCGACGTTGTACAGTACGAGTAAAATACACTGGTATATCTCATATCACATTGCTCCGGGTATCGCACGGTGGACCATTCCTGGGGAAACGGCGAGGGGATGATTGGAAGGACCAGTGTAAATTTGAGCCATGTGCTGTGCTCTACCGGAGCAGGTCAGCCGTGCCAGGAAGGTGACACCGGTTCTCGTAGTTATCTCAAATGGCTATGATACTATGCTTCCCGACCTCTCGGCATTGTTCCGTCCCCCGCATTTCCTGCTGTAGGGCCCTGCCTTTACATAGTAGTGCTTAGTGAGGCACGGCACAGTAATCAATAACAGATTCAAAGTGCATAATATATTCAAACTAATGGGCAGATATCATTAACAACCGAGACCAACGTCAAGACTCGCCCACCTGCAACCAAGCGCGTTTTCCCTCATCCCCTCGCACAGCAGCTAGAGAAACGATGAAAAACCAAGCGCAAAAGAGCATGTCTTCATGAAAGAAAATGGTAGCCTTCGCATCAAACTGGAAACAGTGCAATACCAGCGACACGGTGGGTCAGGACATAGCGAGCCAGCGGTCGAGACCCGGGATAAGCAAAAATGAGTATAAAAAAAGAAGGTCCACGTAGGACCGTTCCAGTTTTTACACTGAAAAGAACAGATACTACACTTGATCTAAGCCAAATTGGCAAAGAGAGCTGGGGAAGGAAGGAAAGAAGAGGTGGAGAAGGTGGGGGGAGAGGAAGGTATTTATATTTCTCGACTACCGTAGCGATTTTTGGCCGACAGTTTTGGCCGACAGTTTTGGCCGCTTGCCAATGGGGTGCGTTGCCATGCGAGCTGGCGAGAAGCAACTGAAACTTTTACTTTGGAATAAGAAGTGGCTGAGGTGAGACCATGGAAAAACAGGGGGGTATGTATGATACATAATACCATCCTCGGCAAAATCACAACATTGCAAGATTTCACGTTAGAACAATATATATAACAAAATATTTACTCTAGCCTTAGTTCCCTCACTCTTTTCGCCCTTCAAACAATCCAAAAATATTGTAAAAAAAAAAAAATCTCTAGAACTACTTGAGACCTGCTAATATTTTTCAGAATTTTCTCTAGCAATTTTCTGGGGATTCTTGGCCCAAAAAATACCACCAAGAATATACCATGTTGAAACGAGGTCAGACCAATGTGATTCTGTGTGAAGGCTTCACTTCTTCCGTGGTATATTTCCCTGCCAATGGTATGATATCCGGAAGGTTTTTTCGCCAAGAGCATGGTATTGAAAAGGTTATTTTTGTTATCATACATATCACCATTTTTGGGATTTAGAAATCACCTTAGCTTGCATGGCCAACTGAGTTCGCTTGTTGGTTCTGCAGTGCTAGGCGGGATGTCCTCGTTGCACCGGAAGTTATATTTGCACCTCAAGTAAATTTACGTTTAATTTGCTGCATGAGTGGTGTTCATGAAAATTCAAAGCTAAAAGCGCCCTCCTTTCCCATCCTCCCACCCAGCCGACCCATACCCGGTTCAGCACGCCTGTCCCCGCGGACCCTTTCCCCCGCTCATCCTGTGTCTTGGCGAGCATCTCTAGGACACATTCGATGGCCGATTTGGGATCGGTGAATCCCAGCAGCCAGCCCGTTTGACTTTGGGTACGGCCAGACCGACCAGGGATGTTGTCGGTCAAGGAAGGTAACTGAGAATGTGAAAATAAAGAGAGGTAAAGACTTGTGAGAGAGAGGCTGTTTGAGATAAAGACAGTGGCTTCTTAGGAATGCAATTGACTTCGTTCTTGTTTATTTCTCCAGTGCCCGAGAGGGCCATACTTATACCCATCAGAGGTTTCTATATACAGTGTTCCAAGTCCCGATTTGCCATACTCAACATGCTTCCGTCACATTGAAGTAACCATTTCAACAAGGGAGGGCCGCGCCGTGGGAAATCGGTTCCCCAAAACTGGTTAGGTGGGGACTGAGGTTTCGAGTGATAGCCCGTGTTGCATACTAAAAAAGAATTCATTGGGTGAGCATCCGGCTTTTCGACTTGGGTTATTAATACGTCAGGATTCTAACTTGCCGTTGCCTTGGCGTGGCCCGGTTTTGGAGGCTGCTAATAAATTTCGACC